TCATCATCCTCCACATTGGACGAGGATGATGATTGATGCATGTGTTGCTTTTTGGATTCATGTTCACTTTGAGCCACTGATGGTGTTTTATCATCAGAGACACTACTGTTTAGATACCTTTTCATTGTAGCCTGATTTCCCTTATACAACTGGTATGCATCCCCAACAAAAGGATGGTCCAGAATTGACGTAGACGCACCAAGCTGAGGTCTAGGAGTACTTGTTACCAATCCACTGCCGCATTGATTACGATCAAGCGTGGTTCGATTTATGTTTGTTTCATTGACAATACCGTCGTGAGGATCATCTGCACCGTCCGGCATATCCGCAGGACTATCATGATTCTCATCGACATTATTGTCTTGAGTTTTTTCACCTTCCTCTATCATTTGAGCCTCTACTTTGTCCTGGTTACAAATAGCAACACTTGCATCACTTGAAGCATGCTGCGACAGACCTGCATTGGATACTATAGGAGACAAGGATGGATCATCGTGATTTATTGGTATCTGATCCTGTTGCAGTGCAGTATCTTGTATAGTTACCGAAATCTTTGGAGTTGGTGTCGGTATATGAACATGTGTATCCGGCGTTTGGTGTGCCAGTGCAGAGGCATATGTTCGCTTCACTTGACAGTGAGGATCATTATGTCCCAAGTTATAGCATACTTGACATTTTTCTATTATACAATCACGTTTTATATGACCGGACTGTTTACAGCGGAAACAGACTCTTTCTCGTCCTTCAAGATGCACTGGAACAGTTAAACCATACAGCTTAAAGGATATAGGTACCATTTCTTCTTCCTTTTTGGATGGAAAACGCATGCGCACACGTCTAACAAACGTTTTTATGGATTTGTACGGGGCAGGAAGGTTTTCACATTCAACGCTAACAATCGTACCTCTCCACCGGCTCACGATTTGACTTATTTCATCATCACTGATCGATGTGGGTACTCCCATTAACCGGATGGTTTTTGTTTCTTGATACGGTAACTGAATTGAAAATCTCTGCGTACCGACTTTCAACTCTCCTTCCTGTAACAACCTCTGTTGTGACAATGGTTCACCAAATCCGATAAACCATTCTCTTATGGAGCCTAAATTGCCGATGGACTCAATTGTGTCAGATGAGCCGAGGATTGTACTCACTGCTTGTACTATGGCACAACGGTCTATTTTATCATCGCCACTTGTCAGGGTCAATGAAACAGATCCCTTCAAGAGTTTATGGCGTGACATTTCCTTTTTTGCGTCACAATTCTGTGAAAATTGAGACGTATCAGAGTCGGACAAGTCAGTTAACTAGTATGATGTAGCTAGATGTATGTTAAATATTTAGGAAAGCAGTACAACACACAGAAACAAAAGGAAAACAGAAACACACAGTTCCTGTTTATATGAAGTTCGCAGTTTCTGTTAATGTTACCTGTAAGCCAATAATCACTGGGATTCGAACGAATAAATATTCCAATCCAAAATAATATCACTTGAAACCAACCAAAGTAATAATATATATAAGCAGATTGACGATAAGACCCTGGAACCTAATGGAACCTAGGCTACGAAAGTAGTCTGTATATAAACAGACTGACGAAAAAGCCTGGTACCTAATGGAACCTAGGCTACGACGGCAGTAATAACTGTCTCTTTATAATAATTTGTAATAGTAAGCTCTTTAATTATAATGTGATGAATATAAGCCAATGGACCAATGTTAATAAAACAAAGTGAAACTTAAATCACTCCAACCACTTATTAACCAAAAAGTTCTCTTTATAATAATTTGTAGTATAAGCGAGACCTGTGTGAGATAATGTGTTAAATATAAACCGATGGACCGAAGACAATAATTCAAAATAAACCTTAATGCACCAATTAATGATCACAGTTTCTGCTCTGTAATTCCAACTTCCCCGCACCACAAACCGAGATTTATATGTTCGTAAAATCTCGCTTTACAATGACTCTAATCAAGCACGTGTTAAACAACGTGATTAGAAAACAGATCAAACTGTATACGTTAATATATATATGAGAATTTTGGCACGAGGCCTTCCCTTTTTATAATGTGTTTAATATAAGCTTTTGTCCCATCCCTAGCAGAAACGAATATAGAAAAGAAAAGTACCACGATTGTAAGTCGAAGAAACGGAGCGCGCGACACCTTCAGTGTCCGCATATATTCCGCTTTTTTATACCAGTGACATTTAGATCAGTGAATTAGACACAAGAAAGTGGTCCAGATCAGGCAGAATGATGTTGGGACATGAAATGTTATTTAAAATACACCTTGTAGACAAGGTTTCTGTCATATCGTTTCATATCGTTGACTTTTCTCAGAAAGCTTCTAGTAACATTGAAAAAAGCGCAGAATTATGTGAGGAGAGCAACTATTTGAAGAAGTTTGTAAAAAAAAATCTTTTTTCAAACCGATTTAAGTGGATTTTTGTTTCTAAAGAAATTTAAATGTATTCACAGTTTGAAATAAATTTACACAGGTTGGACCAATAAATCTATTTGGTTTCATTCTTATATTAAAAATATT